GCTGAATGCGGGGTAAAAATGTAGAGTGCAAATAAAAACGAAATCATTCAAAACAACCGGAAAAATATCAAAGCACATCAAATAAAAGCAAAATTTCACAAAAAAATAAATAAATAAAAGAAAAACGTTTGTTTTACCGGTTAAAAATTAAAAGCGTGTCTGGTCCACTTGGCGGCGACCAAAGCTATTGAAAAAAGTACTAAACGTAAAGTAAAGTAAAAATTTTTTTAATAAAAAGCAAAATAATAGCAAATGTGACTGTTAAATAATACACATAATGAAAATAAAAATAAATTACCAAAAAACAAGGGATTGTCTGTATTGGATTTTGTATAGAAAACAATAAAAGCTGTCAAAAAAAGCAATTCGTATACGTCACTTTTTTGGTGCGGGCGCACATGCAGCTCCAACGCCACCAGGGGGCGCTGAACTGCATTGATTGAGTGTCGTAATTTCGTTTTTTTCTTTTTCGTTCGTTTTTGCTTGTTTTTGGTAACTTTGTTTCCTTATAAACAATTTTGTTACAAAACAGTTTCAAGTGTAGAAATATTTCTGAAAACAATTCCTCATCGTTTTCGAAAGCGTTTTTTATGCAAATTCCCATTAATTGTGTACAGAAAAATAAGGGCAATAATGGAGTAATTATGGGGTTTTTTCTTCCATTTTTGCACATGAATTGTGCTGTGTAGATACAGAATTTTTTGCTTCCTTTTTGGTAGGAGGTGTGGTGCATTCTTCACTTCTTCACACCTTTTGTGCTCGTTCGATAAACTTTTGAGGTTAGTTTTTTCTGCTTTTCTTCCTCTTTTTTTCTGTTGTCCCTTTGTCGGGGGTAAAATTTTTCAAGTTTACGCTGCGTATACGCAACTTATTAGGAATATTTTTTTTATTCCTCATAACATTCTTGGAAATTACATAAGTAAAATTTTTTTCTTTTCCTGGAAATGACAATTATTGTATATACCATTTAATTATTTATTTTGTCAGAAATAAAATTTGAGGGGAGCTTTTCCCTAGATATATTTATGCAGATTAACCATATGTTAGGTAGATCTGAATTTATTTCAATTTTTTTTTTCTAATATTAAAAATAATAATATTGTGAAATATTCAAAGATTTCTGAACTTGAAGGGAAATGAACTTGTTTTTAGTGGTGAGTTGACATTTTCTAAATTTGTCTATTTGTGTGTTCAAATCTCCAGTAATCTGCTAATTGGACCTTTTTTTACTGTTATGGCTGTATAACCACTTACATGGTGTATTGCCTAGTGATATGGTTATGGTGCCATGACAGTGAAACTCCAGTTAGCAGATAACTGGATATTTGGACATATAAATAGATGAATTCAGAATGATTTTTGACTGTTTTCGATGACATTTTGGTTGCTTTTGGTGCTGTTAGCTTGCACTTTTGCTAGATATTAATGTTATTTTTCTTCCTTATATTCATCTTTCTGCTTATTAGTGGTCTTTTAAACAATCATGACTTTTGTTATTATAACTAGGTACCGATATATATGCATAGAAAGATCTCTGCGATTTGTAATTATAACAAGCGACTATTATTTGAGTCCCTATTTTTAAAAACAGGGTCTATTGTCAAATGCAGCGTCTTCTCTGATCAGAAAAATTTCCCACCAAGTTATTTGAAAACAAACAAAATAAACAGCGTTATTTAAAGAAGTAAAATAGGAGTTGAAGTGATGAATAATTTTTGGAAGGTAGTTTGACTAAATTAAATGTTAACATATGGACGTTTTGATTAACACAATGACTGGGAGATATATTTCGTTTCGATCGCACTATGGCACCTTAACGGACATCAAATAAAAAACCGTTAAACTTCGGAGTTATGCTGGCCAAGATCTGCTGAAAAATAACAGCGTGTACTATTCTCTAAAAAATTTTTCGTCGTAAAAGCATGAAGATTCCGAGAAATAGCATTAGTTTAATCTACGTCCCCTAATCGGTTTGTCGACTGATGTAAAACCATCGCTCGCGTTAAAGACTTACAGATCAAACATTCTAGAAAAATTTTAAAACTTAGTTGTTTTTAAAAACTGTTTCTATTCAATAAAATTCAGTTTTAATTCAATAAAAAAGTACATTTATTAAAGTTAAGGTCTTGATTATGAAATCATTATTCTAATGAATATCATTTTATTAAAAATAATTTTGTTTAATTCACATTAGTATATTCGTCTTTATTATAAAAACTAAAGTTACTAATTTTTTTTCTCTACATAAGCTATATACAAGCTCGTACATGTCAATTTATTGCAATATCTATTTCTTCAAATTTTCTTAGAAACTGCTGTATTGCGAGACATATTTACCTAATGTAAATGTATCTCGAAATAGATAACACAATGACTTCGGTAACACTCACTACAACCTCATCGTACCTCCTCACCTCTACCCAGACAAGACAACTTCAGTTCTATTGCGCCGGAATAGGTGACTCAATTGCTGACCTTGCTTAAAACTTTTTCGTTAGACATTTTTAATTGCAAATTCTTAAAACGTATCAAAATTTTAAGAAGTGTACATAATATGTATATATGGTATAGATAAATATATTTCTTATAATAAGGTAAACCCGGGTTTCGCTTTAATTGGAATGAAATGTGTTTTTGAAATTGACACTTCATCAATTTCTTTTTTTAATAATAAATAAACTATTATAACTGTTTTTTTATTATCAAACTTAATTTGTGATTTAATATCCTTCAAATAAAAAAAATGGTTTTAGTTATAAAAGTAAACACACCTTTAGTACCACAAACTAAGCCCACCATTTTGGGGTCTCTATTAAATTGTGATAACATTTTGTCCTAAATGTGAAACTAATTTTTCTATCGGGCAGTAATATTTTTAGAAAATAGAATTTGCCCTAAAACCTGATAGTAATTCTGATGGACAATTACAGTTAGTCCAAAATAACTTTTCAAAATTTTATTATTAGTATTTTTTGGTAAACGGTGTACATATATTACTTAAAACTTATAGATTTTTAAAGAAATATTTGGTTCCAAGACCGGCTGAATCTGATAGCTGGTCCCATTTGTCCATACAGAAAATCATATGCTGCCCCACCAGGGGTAATATCCTCAGATCTTTTTGGGTTACAAAAACAAGAAGCAATATCCACTACAGCAAGGGCAAGCGATATTTAGTTATTTTAAATGGATATGAGTTTATAATCTGCTTGAAAAAAGTCCTATAATAAGTTTTATAAGTTTTCATTAATTCTATAAAAAAAGTCTGTTAATGTATAAATATAATTAATTGGATTGAACTTGTCATCGTATAAATTGTAATGTGATCTGCGGTCCTTCTTATACTGCGGAAAAAAGGAAAACTAACTTACATTCAATTCATCAATTCTCTTATAGGTCTAATTGTTATTATTAAGAGTTATAAGTCTTAAAATATTTATACTACTATATATGATTGGCCTCATATGTTGATATTCATATGTGTAACTTAACAAAATATTTATTTTTGCTATAATAAACATTATAATTTCCTTGGATGTGAATTCATTCTCTCGATGATTTCTGCTAGATACTTGCAATCTTAATTCTGCCATAGACATTCCGATAAGACAATTTGAGTCCATTTAAGACTATTGTTCTGATTCCGTTTTCCTATAGAAGTTTCCTGTAGGAAACCATCAATTGTAATTAGTAGCTTATTAGTTCATTGTTACTCTTGAGAAATATGTTTTTTAAGTGTTTTACTATTCATTTTTTACAATTATTTACTTATAGGCGTTTACACCCGTAGACACCTATAAGGTACGATCGTATAATATTAAAAATATACAATATAAATACATTTAATATATGCATTAGGTATACTATAAGGTTGAGAATTTTTAAATCTTCAGTTTTAATCATAGGAATTTTTAATTATAATAGACTATCTACTATTTCATTTCTGAACGGTTTGCTAATTCAAAATTAACATATTTTGAGCATCCCCAAGTCACATTTCACTTCTGATACACTGTTAAATGTATCTTAAATGAAATAAACCATTTTTTAATTTTTCCAAATTTTTTTTTTTATAAATTTACTGTGAATTTATTAAAAGAACCGGATGTTTCTATGGCAGTTATTTTAAATTTTGAATTGTCTGTTTTTTATTTTTGTTGCTTTGTATTACATAGTTTATATATCTTAAAAAGTAAATTAATTTAGATTATGTGAACAAATCAAAATGAGTTTCTTATAAAAATATGCATCTCCACTATCACTTCAAATATCAACTACATTTGATTCTGATTATTCGTAAGAAATACATCTTCTATAAAAGATCTGCATAAAATAGGATAAATTTGCATTTCTTTTAGTTCAAATACAATTAAAATATAGTAGTGTTCTGTTTATTCCTGCAAATATCAAAGATCCGTCCGCAAAACAGGTTTTTTTTCCAAATTTCATATATTTGTTTCAAGTAGAGACTATAATAGTATTGAAATATAATCTCTGAATCCATATTTATGACAATCCTGCTTAGTAGTCACAAATGTCAAAGTGCTGAATGATAATGAATAGGAAAACTTATACCATCTACTTTGTTAGTGTCCTTGTCTGATAATCTTGAGTTCATCAAACTTTGTCCATGCCCAAATGCAGAAGTTCGTAAAGTTCATCATAATAGAGTACAGGAAAGGAAACCTCCATAACGAATATCACAAGAGACAAAATGGCTTATCTGTGTCGATAGTTGATACTGAACCGCCATATTACCTAAATTAATTGAACCTAATGTATCTCTTTTGTACTTTATGTGGTAGGTATAGTAGGTTGAGGTCCCCTCAAAAGTTTTTTTTTGCAAGATTTTCAGTACGTACGACTTTCCGAGTTTCGAAATTATATGTTATTTTATTTTTACCATTTTGAATTTTGAATATAAATTTATAATTTTAATATAATTTAAGATATTTTAATTTCATTTGAAAATATTAATTTTTTTTCCACTTTTCTTATAGATATTGTTCAACGAAAAACCTAACGGAATAACAAAAAAACTTACTTTGGATATACAAAAAATCTCAAGTCGTACATTTTGAAGTAAGTATTTCGTCAATTTAAATTTAACCTACCTATAATATAATAGATAAATTATTTAAATTTTTAACACATACTCAAATCAATGATTGTAAATCAGTTTTCCATACTTTTACTTTGCGTTCTGGCTCAAAAGTCATAGAAGCACTCTCCAGAGACCGGGGAAATCTGTGCGCTTATCCCAAAAGTAAATTCTCAACATTTTTAAAACATTTGCAGATAAATAAATCTTAAATTCTTGAATTGTGTTAAAAAGGGCAGATAATAAGTAAGTTATAAAACCAAAAAATAAAAAAATCTAACTATAAATAAATAAAAATCATCAAACGAAACTAAATGAAACGAAAGTGTAAGAACGACAAATTTAACTAAAAACATGTAAAATCACTTAATTATCTGCAGAACGAAATGAGTAAATATAAATTACAAAAACAACAAACAATAAACGAAAGAACTACACATTTTTACATTTTTATGCATAAACCGAAACTACACGAAGGAAGCACAAGACATGAACGACACCAACAACAACAAGAACAACAGCAACAGCAATCACACTGCAATTGAGAATGTATCTAGCAGATACATTACTTTGCAAATGTGAAACAATTTTTTTTCTCAATTTTTTTCCATTTCTTTTTTCAAGCTTTTTTTTCCTGCTTTTCGTAGAATTTGTTTGCCGGCACTTTTTTGTGTTGTTTTGACGCTTTTTCTCTCTGACTTTTATTTGTTAGTTCTTGTTTCGTATGTATAAATACGTGTGTATGTGTGTGTTTGTGTGTGGCTGTGCCGTTCATAAACCGCGCTAATTAAATGTGCAGATATTGCCCATAAATACAACAACAACAACAACATAAAAGAAAAGACTGACGCGTATAGCGAACAAAATAAATAAATTATCAGACAGAACCGAAAAATTCTGTTTCCACTCCTGTCCTGTCCCGTCTCGAGCTCAATCTCCAATCCAAATTCAAGCAAACATTGTAACTCTCAAATATGCAATAAACTTTAAATTATAAACATACACAACACTAAAAAACTAAAAAAACAACAATAAACACATGCAATATAAACATTCATTATGAGATTTTTGCAGAAAAAATATTATGAGAAAAAAAAAACATTTTGCAAATCATAAAACAAAGTCAAACGTTAAAATTCGAAATTTTGTTTAAATTTGAAACACTTTGTAGCATTTTCGAAGTGTGGAGCAGAGGGGACAAGGGGAAAACCGCGCAGCTGACACGACTCGATACACACACAGCGAATTTCATGACTCACTTTTAACAATTTTGGTTTTATTTTCTTTGTGACTTTGTGAGTTTTTATAGCAAAAATTATTCTATTTTATTTACTTTAATCATACAAACACACATACATATATATATATATATGTATATATGCCGCTCTCGTCTGCTTGTTCATGTTGTGTTTGTAGTTGTAGTTTAATTAAGTTTTCGTTTGGTACGTTTCAGTTTCGCGGTTAAAACGTTTACAAAAAAATTTTTTTTTTCTGATCTTCCGAATTTGAACAACTAATAACCTTGAAGTCATGATGATTAAATGATTTTTTTGCTTTACAAAAAAGTAGTTAATTACTATTAAAACTAACAAAAAAAAATTGTAAAAAAAATATTATAAAATGAAAACATAATAATTATAATTATAATTAAATATTCTATATTCTATATGTTCTTCAAAGCTAATAATTACGGCGCGTATGCGTGGCTGTGAGGCTGTTTGGCTGCTTGGCTGTTCTTCTAAGCAGACAATGTAATTTCTTAAGCTTCTTGACGCGCAAGAGCCCTGCGGCGTATGTTGATAAGCTGCAAATTACCTTTGCTTATGAGCAATTTGCAAGCTGTTGCGATTTTTGCATTAAGCCATCTTTGCTTCGCTCCTCCGTTTTTGTTGCCGTGTAAGTTTTATAAAGTGTGGAATTTATTGCAGCAACAACGAACATTACAATAACCAACATTACAACAACCACAACAACCACTACACTACACTACACTACAAAAACTTTATTGTAAGACTGCAATTAGGCGCCATAAACACGTCACATAATCTTCACACAAGTTGATTCTATTATGTCCATCCTTATATCCCCACATTAATATATTAACATGCATGCCAATAAACAAATGTACATACACACAAACACACACACACACACACACAGTTACGCATTTTTTATTTTATTTTTTTATAAAATATGTACGTATGCCGTTCGTGCGTGGCTATTTCAATTTTTTATGGCGTAATTGCAGACATTGTTGCCGCTTCTCTGCCTGTTTGCAATTACGGTGTTGTTGCTGTTTTTGCTGTTGTTGTTATTGTATTTACACTGAATTTGTCGTATTTGTTCTAACACAAGCTCTGGCAGTAGTAGTAGTTGTTGTTGTTTTTTCTTTATTAATTGTGGTTAATTATGTTAAAGTATGTACATTAATAATGCTTTTATTAGGTAAGGAGCCAAAGTAATTGTACATATTATGTCCATACATAATTACTATTTTAAGTAAGCCAAGTGTTCCCGATCAGAACGTTTTTGTAATTTATGTAATATTTTCAATCCTATTAAAGGAGGTGAGAATCGCTAATTATGTTGGTATCTCGCAAAAATGTGCTTTATTATGAAATAAAAAAAAATGGTTATGTACATTTAATATGTTTAAGATGTATACTATTATTGTATACATAGTCCAGTTGCTATAATATACATACATATATATATATTTATCAAAGTTACATATATATGTATATGAAGTAAACTTAATAAACGTTTACACTGTGGCAATTAACTCGATAGATGAAGTTCGCTAATTGTGGGTTTAAAACATAGAATTTTATAGGAAAATGAATCGAACACTAAACACAAGTCCATTTATGCCTAATAAAATAAATGAAAATGTCCTAAATTAACTTTGACATGCCCAGTTATTTGACATAAATCCGATGAAAATTTATTAGAGTCGTTAAATTGTAAAATAAATTAGATCAGATATAAAAGTCATTAACATCAATAAATAACTATTTGGTAGGACATAATAAGCTCCTTTCTCTCATAACAATAAAGGAGAACCAGAATAAAATGGATTACTTTTATAATATATCAGCATTAACACAATACAAATCAGTATTGATACCTATAACAATAAGAGAGACAAGGATTGTATGAACCTATCAAAAAAAAAAAACTTGAAATCATCACAGGAATCCTAACAGAGCACTGTAAACTAAAATACCACCTTACAAGGCGGGGTATACTTACGAATGTAAACTGTAGATTCTGTGAAGAGCATGAGGAGTCGGCCACATATATGCTGTTAGAATGTACTGCACTAATACACAAACGGAATAGGCTGCTGAGAATGTATATTCTTACGGAAGTAGCTATACTACTATACTACTATTACTACTAGAGACCTATTCTAAGCCCAGAAGGGGGCACAATAGACCCAAAGATCGCAGTGCCACATCACCTAACAATAATAATAAATCATAACAAATATTTGATGTTATTAAAAATAGTTATATAGCATGAGATAATATTGTACGTTCTTTGTCTTTTTAAGCATAAGAAGTAGTTTCTTCAACCACTTTTCTCCATAGATCACTATATGTTACGCCACCTTTCTCCTCCAACTTTACAGTGTATTTTGTATGTATTGTATATTTTGTATTTCTCAATACTCCTATTCTTCTTAAATCGGTAAGTTCTAAATCGAACTATATTTTCACGTTTCTTAGCTTGTTTTACTAATCTAAATTTTTATTATATTAATTTTTCTACCTTTTATAACAGACAAATGTTCGTACTTGCGTTTGAATATTAATAACTGCATGTTATCACTACTTACTACTATCCAGTTTTCAGATTCATAAGTGAGAATGAGTCTAATTAGGATTTTGTAAATCTGGATTTTTTGCCCACATTACATAATTTTATCATACCACTTTCTTTTAATAGAAATGGCAAGTCGTCACCCTAATTTTTTGCAATATTGTTCTCCCATGAATATGTCTAAAATATACTAGATCTAACTTCACTATTTAAGTAAGGCAATTTTAATTTGACTGCAGAAGAAATTAGGTCTAAAAGAATTTTGTGCACTGCATTTTTAATTGGGTCTATTATACCCATCGTAAAGCTTGAGTATTCTAATGTGAAAATTGTTTTGAAATACAGTAAGGAAAGAGAAACTATTTCATAATTGTTAGATACTTACCAGTACACATTTTTATGCCGTTATAGATGAAGTTATATAAAATTTAAACAAATAGAGCTTATTTTATTATAACTTTAACATTAAAATTAACAAAAAATTTTAATCAATGTATGAAACTAGTCATGGGAATATGTCATCATCACACTTTTTAAAATAGTACAACCAGAGTAAGGTTTTGACTTTCTTCAATAAGTCTTTCCATTCTTTCTTTCTGACATTTTTTTTCGAATGTTTTTAATTATCCTATTATTTATTATTATGAAGTTATTGATCATTGATCATCGGTAATATGCTTATTGCTGGTTTTGTCTTTATTGGGGTGGGACGAATGGTATAAGGAAAAGAAAGACGAGTGGTATCTGTACCTAAACCTTGACGCTACTGCAATCAGTGTTGAAGTATAGATTCATTCGATTTATATATAAGATCAAGTTTTAGTAGATAGATCAGCATAAGAATGATAATAAAAATGTTGGTGATATTATAATTATAGTTATTGTTCTTCTATTCAAAGAGCTCATAACTCATTATTTTATTTTTAACCCCATTGATCTTCAAAACATAATTATTATTTCAAAATGATAAATTGTTTATGTTTCTTCCAATATAATGTATTAACATCATGACTAGTGAGGGAGTACAGTAAATTCTAATAGACAAAATATAATCGCATTGCACTTGTCAAATACTTGAATTTAGAGTACTTGGCAGTAATTTTGACTGATCACATTATGAATGTCTAATCTAGGCTATTGTACAACTTCAAAATGC